CACTTAGCTACCGAATAGCACCAGAAGCATCAACCACAGTCTGTGATACTTCACCTAAAGGAGATGCTACTGCTTGCTTCGAGGTATACACTATTACTAATGGAAGGATCCATCTTGGAGCTTTTTGGCAAAGGCGAAAACTGAGGTGCTATTGGAGTTGGGGGCCAAAATGCAAAGTAACGTACCTTTAGAATTATGAGCTTAGTATAGTGTAATAAATCAAAATTTCTAACAATTTTATTTTGAATAGTTCTACTGGTCTGGTCGAAATACATTCCGCCCATTGTCAAAGACATGGAACTTGTACAGCAGGAAGAGGAAGCTGTTTGGTATCTGCAGAGTCTGTGAATGCTACGGGAATCATTTCCTTAATGTGCTCTGCCATGGCAGCAGGCATGGATCATCAACTTGTTCCTGCAGGACGCAGTACAGTGGGTAATGGATACGCTTGAACAAAAACTGACCTTTGTTTTGTAGTGTATTGAACAAAGGATTTGTAGTTATAGGCCTTGTTTTTTAGTAGAAAAAAAATTAATTTAGAATGAGAGGGAAAGTTATTAAAATTGGTTTGATTATTAAAATTAACAAACTAAATTTAGACTACTGACTTAGTATGCGGAAGTAAAAGTCACGCCTACTCCGTATACTCAAGCAGCATGGAGTTGTGATGTTTCCTACTGGAGGATATTTCAAGGGAATCCCTTGCCCATTATTTGAGCATGGGCTCTGTCACAGAGCTAACTGTCACTACAGTCACAATAGGACCCCATCAATCATTAATAGTTAGTGTCAGTAATAGATCTGGTCATTACACCTATGACAGACCCTCTGCTTTTATTCAGTCCTTACACATATTTATTAAGACTTATATTTCTCCTTGCATATTTAAATAAAAATATTTATTTGATGCAGTGTTAATGAAATAAGTCTGACTATATAATGTACAATATTACAGCAATAGAAAGACTTTGACTCTAATTGAAGTGAAATAATTAATACATTAACAAATAGCAGATCTGTGTACATACGCATGTATAATGTATTGTTATTCATTTTGTGTAGGATTGGCACCATCATCATCGCAGCCAGTGCCTAGTAAAGTACAAAATGTACAGAAACCTGTTTCTAGTAGTTCATTCAGTTGTTCAATAGCTCCTTCATCCGTTTCAACATCAGTTGATAACTAACTCGTCATCTGATAATATAAAGCCTCTCATTGCTAATACCTCATCTTCAATTACTAAATCATCTCCTACTAGCATTACTTCTTCTTTTTTGGTGGATATTACATTTGGTTCATCTTCTCTCACTGATAATGATACCGTTTCATCCTTAAACATTGAATCTTCTTTATCTCAGCCCTCACTCTCTTCAACCGTTACTTCATACACTACTACCACTTCAGTGTCCAGCCCTTCCATTGCTCCTAGTCACGCTCCATCAGTCAGTATCACTCCTTCTTATATTCCTCTGGAGACTAGTCCGCTTTCTGAAGATGTTAAAGAGTTACCTACCATAACTCCCACTACATTAGAGCAGGATATATTTGGTTCTCCGACCAGTGATAGTGATGATGATGATGGTTCTCTTTCTATGGTGACTGATGGACCCTCTTCTCTGGATATGGAGATTACATTTCTCAAGGCTACTACAGTCATGAAGGGAGGAAGGAGTGATGGTAGTGTATCTGTTGATAAGGAAGAGAGGAGAGAGAAAGTAAAGTCAACGTATGAAGGAATTAAGAACATAAGTGTAGCTCATTCTGATAAGGTAAATATAATAATGATGATTAGTACTGTATAGCGCTTAAATTTGGTGGAGTTTTATTTTGGCAATTGGTGGTTTGCAAGCGGAATCACCAATCATTAATGTGCATGCTCAGTAATGCACATGTACACAAAAAATGACAAATTAAAAACTGCTCGTGTGCACAAAAAATGACAAATTAAAAACTGCTAATTATAATTTTATAGCAAAATTGCCACAATATAGCGCAATACATTATTTTAGTTGTAAAGTGTCTTTGTAACATGTACATGTACATTATTGTGAGGTGTTGTTGTAGTGTTATTATTATTTTGGGACTCTGTACTTTGTTGTTATTATCATTATTATCTTGTTATCATTTATAACAAATGTTATTGTTGTTGTTGTTATTAGATAGTCAGGTCAACTGATTCGTTGCATTCTTCTCACCGTCCCAAGTCTTTATCGGACATGAAGGTAAGGCGGAGTCCATTACTAATTAATGGGTGTAGCTCATTATATTCACAGTTAATGGAAACACTCAAAGACTCTGGAGTGATGTACAGTAATAAAAAGAGACAGTCACGAGTTACTGGTGGAGGACATACTGTAAGATATTCATATATTATTATAATTGGCCTTGCCCAGCTTTGCGTAGGTGAGGACTAAGACTAGGGATATCTAACTGTCATTCATTCTGTGTGCTATATTTTGTCTTTGAGAATGTATATCTTTACAATTGCGTGCTCTAAATTTTTAAGAGCTTTTCTTCTATTAGGAAAAGTCTTGCTTTACTGCCTCGATATGTTTAGAGAGCAGTTGCCCAGCAATAGCGGAAGTACTCTGCATGCAGGTAAATGAGACTCTTTTCCAGTAGATCAAGACAATTCATTTATATAATATGTGTAGAACTCGTTAAATCTACTCGAATTTCGTCTCAGGTGAAGTGCTGTAGCAGTAGTTCGCTAGTCTAAGGATCCTAAACTCACTTAAGTCACTCAATCTATCTAGGCAAAGTATTTTTCCATTATAACATCATAATTGCGGCTAGAAGAAGAGAAAAACATGAAGCTTGCTTCTCACATGGTCTTGCTGCATTATTGATACTTATGCCACGCCTCCAAGCTGGGAGTTGCTGGAGCCTGGAGCAGCTAGCTTGCCACTTCTGCAAGCATGGAAGAGCTAGTGTAACTGCAGTTAAGGAAGCTAGCTGTTATGATAATCCCTCAGCCTCAGGCTAAATTTTTTGTATAGTAGTTTATGGTTTTGATAGATAGTGGCCACATCAGAAGCTGTGATTTTGAAACCCATGATGTTGTTTTTAAAATGAGAGTGCAATAAATATAAATAGTGTCTAAAATAAGCGATAAATTTTGAGATGCTAATAGGATTTTATGAACACATTTTACCAATTTTTGGAGGGACTCCAGAGCCCCATCATACATGTACTTTTCACACTTGCCCATTCTGTCATTTTTGTTCTACATGGCTTAGGCTAGCTAAGCCTAATACCTCCCAAACAGCTTTAGGGACAAGGCCACACACCTTTGGTGTCTCATTACTTCAGCAACAGTTTTTGCGGCACTTCAATTTGCATTTAGAAGAAAATTGAAACTCACATTTTATGAATAATTATTATAAAGTTTATGAATATCCTAGTGTACATGTATTTATTGACTTACTGCAGAGACTAAGAGGAAGTGATAAGGAAGGAATCCAAGTTTGTTGTTGTTGATTGACATCATTTGACATTCTGTGTAACTCAGTACCAGTTCTATTATAGATGTACACAAACTGCTTCTGAGTGGCAGCAAACATTGTCTCATTGTGAAGATAACTAATATCAGAAAATGCAGTTTCAGAAAAAAATCATAATGGGCTATAGTACAGGGTATTCTTCAGAAATAAGTAAAGACCATACATAACTCAAAATTTCAGTTGGAATCAGATTCAAGCAGTGTAGGACATAAAAATAAAAGTAAAGACAAAGAAGAGATAAACGGAAACTTTGAAACAAAAGATATAGAGAGAGAAAGCTCTAATTGTACATGTACCATCCACTTCTTGAATGATTAATAGAGTAAGGTCCAAGCTCATTCAACTTAATATTAAAATACTACCAAAAGTAATTACATAACATTCACAAAAGTCAGTGACTCACTTTAGTAGCAACTGCTAGTGGAGCCTGACCTACAATTTCCTCTTGAGTCAAATCAATTGCATGCTCATTGCTGCTCCCAGCCATAATTAAACTATGAGGTGTACAAACATATCACACGTTTGTTTATACGACCTTATAGGCCCAAATTGATCATAGTTAAAATGAATGGATTAAATCAGTCAGGGCTCATACAATGAGAGGAACTAAATTAGTGCCAAATTTGTCTGGCTAGTTAATATGTCTGGCAAACCAATATAGGTCTGGCAAACCAATATGTCTGGCAAACCAATATGTCTGGCAAACCAATATAGGTCTGGCAAATCAATATGTCTGGCAAGCCAAATAATTGTTATTATATTATTATTATTATTATTATTATTATTAGTATTAGTATTATTCTGGCTCCTAAAGATTGTGTGCAGTTCAGCATGTGCTGTGCATGTATTATGACTCAAACCAATGGTTGGAATACTGTCATCTTACATAGTACATGTACATGCACAAGTGGTGAATCCAATTTATATTAATGTACATGTATACAACAAGTCAGTTTTTTGGTATAGATATTCACTCAGGAGGATTGGGTTTGATTGCAAAATTTTTGACTGCAATTGACTACAATTCGTATTCATAATGCCAAGTTATTTTACTTTCTAGTGCACTTTAAAGCACACGAGTGCTTTCATTGTTACTTTGTGATACATATTGCTACCATTGTGTAATCAGTAATCACAATCACTGCATGTCTGTGTAATTGCAAATTATATCATAATCAAGGCAATGCCAGTAGCTAACCAGACAGAAAACTAGGCTCATGACTATATATCATTCACTTCTTGAGTATATTTAATAGAGTAAGATCCAAGTTCATTCAAAATACTTTCACATATATAACATTCACAACTGCTAGTGGAGACTGACCTACAATTTCCTCTTGAGTCAAATCAATTGTATGCTCATTGCTGCAATTAAACTATGACTCTATGAGATGTATAAACATATCACACATTTGCTTATACGATCTTATAGGCCCAAATTGATCATAAATTTTTAAAAATTGAATAAAAATCAGTGAGGGCTTGCATGGACACAGATTAACATAAGAGGAACTAAAAATAGTGCCAAATATGTCTAGCCAGCCAATATGCCTGGCAAGCCAAATAATTGTTGTTGTTCTTATTATTAGCCTTGCCCAGCTTCGCATACTCAAGGACTAGGTACTACTGTTGTCTGTTTGTCTTTCATTCTGTGCATGTGCTATCTTTTGTCTTTGAGAATGTATATCTTTGCAATCACGCTCTCTACATCTGTGAAAGCTTCTCTCTTGTTAGGAAAAGACTTGCTTTACTACCTCAAGATGTTTAGAGAGCAGCTCTAGGTAGTAGAAGCTTTTTAACTCGTGAAAAAATTCCCAGCAATAGTGGTAGTACTCTGGAGGTAAATGAGACTCTTTTCCAGTAGTTCAAGACTATTTAATCATTAATTTTAATATGTGTGTGACTCTTTAAATCTTTCTTGTTGGTCAGTTATAGCTACTCGAATTCCATCCCGAGTGAAATGCTGTAGCAGCAGTTCGCTAGTCTAAGGATCCTAAACTCTCTTAGACTCTTAAGTCACTCAGTCTACATGTATCTAGGCAACAGTATTTGTGCCATTTTAACATCATAACTGCGCTTTGAAGAAGAGAAAAACCTGAAGCTTGCTTAATTCTCACATGGTCTTGCTACACAATTGATAATGTATGAAACAAGGAGTAGGTAGGTGGAAACTGGCTATAGCTAAGTTTATAGAGCCTTGCACCTCCCAAACAACTATAGGGGCGAGGCCACGCACCTTTGGTGTCTCGTTGCTATAGAGAATCTATTCTATTCCGGCCCTGCACCCTCCTCTCAAGCTTTCTACTTCCTGATTATAAAAACATGGTCCTTATATAACTTGAGAGTAAATCTATCCTTCCTCATTTGGGGGTAGCTATACCAAAAGATAATGAGAGGGATAAGGTTCGTAGTCTTTGCTCTTTTCCTCTTCTCTTCATCCAGTGATGCTGCTCCTGCTGCTAAAAAAGATTTCAAGAAAACCAGTGATTGCAGTAAAGTAAGAACCAATGTCTATGCAACCATTGTGATCCATGTATTGCGGAATATTTAGAAAGCTAATGTAAGTTGCACTTATAAATACAGTGTTGAGGCAAGAATAAAGGGAGGAGAAGAAATTGATGTTACTGCAAATGTAGACATATTTTGTGAATCAGGTCAATACAGTTATTGCATTTCAAATTATCTACTCTTGTTATGCATGAGTGTTGCTATCATTGTTATACATTGATTTATTGTACAGTTGGTATCTTTAAGAAGGAGCCAGCCATTCGTCATTGTATCAATGTCAGAGATGCTGTGGGCCGAATATCCAACAAAGGGAATAAATATGATTCAGAGTAAGTGACAGTTTTAAAACCTTTTCTATGCACATGATATTACCAACATTCTTTCTCACTGTGCTAGTACTGAGGCTCCAATTAAAAAATTGGACAAATGGTTCTGTTTTGCTCAGAGTTCAAAAACTGGTAAGATATCGGGTGTGTTTTACCCCAAGAAAGAAAAGGAGTGGATTGTCAATATAAAGAAGAGCATTGCCAGTACTTTTCAAGCCAACTACAAAGGGACAACTGTTGCTACTGAAACTGACTCACAATCAAAACACAAATCACATTACAAGTAAGATATACAGAGTATGGTGTGTTTTATGTGTTTACATTTCTTTGTCCACAGGTACTATTCTGAGGGTAATAAACAGATTCAAGAAAGAAGGATTGATTCTGGTGATGTTTCTACTTATGCTGGAAAGGCCTCCACTCAAGATAAAGACAAAACTCTTTACTTTCATGAGCACGATAAGCTTGAGATAGACAGGAATAGAAGAATACAATTTTCAGAAGGGAAATCAGTCCTTGAGCTTGGAGCAGAGGCAGAAGATAAAGCTACTGCATCAGATACCAATGATAAAGCAGTGCCTCCCCTGGGAGCTATCAGTGATTACAAGCTTGAGCTGGCCCGCTGCTATAAGCCACCGAAGAAAGATATTATTGAAGAGCTCACTGCTGCAATGGCCAGTCATGAATGTGTGGTTGGGGATTTACTGGCTACTATTAATGAAGGTATTATTGATTTGATTGCTGCATAGTATGCATATACAGACAA